TAGTTATTTATTAAAAAAATAAAAAAATTATATTACCAAACTACATATAAATTTAATATAACAATAATATTATTAGATCTTTACGTATTATAAAAAGATTTATTTAACTACTATCTAGATAGATTAAAAATCGGGGAAACCGTGACTTAAAAATCGTTTTTCCACTTATTTGATTTACAAGGCAAACAAGTCATGATATGTAGCATATTTCGGTTGAAATGATCCAAATAACCAATTTTTAAAAGTTCGATGATTTATTTATTAAAAAATATATGTAAGGATGATTTTTTTTGTAAATAATTATGACTCAGTGAATTGTACGATATTAACTCTTTTATTTTATTTTCTTCACAATCTTTTAATTACATCATTTTAAAAATATTAAAATAACCCAAGAAATTTGAAATACTACTTTCTGTAAAAGTGATTACATTTTTCAGGTCATTTTATAATAATAACTTCTAAATTATACAATTTTAAAAAGATTAAAATAATTTAAGTAACCAGTCTTTTAAAAAGCTTAGTAACTTATTCAATAAAAAAAAGATTCAAGAACTTAATAATTCAAAATGGAACAATTTCTTTAATTTTCTGAACTTTTTCCTTATTTAAATTTTAATACAAATAGTTTCTATAAATATCTCATCAATTAAAATAACTAATTAAACATAAAAATTAATTTTTTGGATTAAACTATCTTAAGTTTTTTAAAATAATTACAATAAGACTTTAATACTAATATATATAGGGGCACGTTCAAATGAAAACCGTGCATTTCTAAGAAACCGTGTAAACCAATTTCGACCAATAAGAATTTTTTTTTCTAATTAAATTTAATCAATAAGGGTATTTCGGTCATTTACAATATTTTTTATTAAATATGGAAGTTATTGATAAATCTTAATTAAGGAAACGTAATAAAGAAAATTATATAAATGGTAACATTTAAATATTTAATTGTATTAAAATATTAAAAATTTGGATTTCATATATTGTCATGAGTTATAATCAGGAAACGTGTCTTGATGAAACAATTAAATTATAGAATGAAATCATCAAAACGTAGATGAACAAAAAAAAAATCCACAAAATGAAACAGGTTTCATGAACGTGAAACCGGTTCATGTTGCAAAGAAATTAGGTGAACCGAAACATTTTTATGGTGAACCCGTTGCATTGATGGTGTAGTTATTCTTTTTTTTATGAGAAGAAAAATGAAACCGGTGCATTTTGAAAAAAATTATGAAAAGGAAAATGAAACAGGTTTCATGAACATGAAACCGGTTCATGTTGCAAATAAATTATGTTAACCAAAACATTTTTATGGTGAAACTGTTGCATTGATGGTATAGTTGATCCATTTTGTTGATGAAAAGGAAAATGAAACCGGTGCATTTTGAAAATAAATTATGAAACAAGTTTCATGAACGTGAAACCGGGTCTTATTGCAAATAAATTATGTGAACCGAAACATTTTCATGGTGAAACCAATTTCGTTCATATAATGTAATTCAAAATTTAAAACAATTCACTCCATATAATTGAATATGGTGTGTTATATTCATTTTTTTTATATGTTTTATTGATGGATGTGATTTAAA